CGGTTCTTTTTTTATGTCCTTATATAACCAGATGGCAGTGTATTTCAAGGGTCATTAACTTGCCCCTCCCTTCTTTTCCGTGCGTGGCGGAAAGGCGCTGGGCATAGTTGATTGTTTGCTGACTGACTGAGGGGTGACGTGAAACAGTTTTTTTATTTTAAGGGAGCATAGCAGTGACAATTACCGAACACAGTACTTTCTACTCGATCTAGTACACTTCTTGGGCACCCCTTCATTCTCAGAAGATCATACTGCGTTTTTTGTGTGTGCGTGTGTGTATGCCTTCCCCAGGAAAGCCAGACAGCACTTAGAGGTGAGATCTGGAAGGTGGGCGAGAAGACCTCTTCAGCTACCCCCAGGACACTTTAGATCACTCAAGTACAGGAAGAAAGAGAAGTCAAGTCTTACAAAATCAGTATAAGCCCTTGCTATCGTTCACTGTGGGATGAAATGGAAGGGAGACGGTGGGTCGCATTCCCTTGATGGTAATTATGACCCCAACTTGGCATTTGACAACCACATCCCAAGTGGAAGCAGACGTGAGTTAGGAGCTAAATTTATCGTCAATTCCTTAGGGCAAAGTATTATATAAAAATCGAGTTCACAGGGAATCGTGGAAGTCTCCACACCATAAATTATTACCAAAATGAATCACAGTAAGGCGCCAGGCGTGATTAATTGACAGCTTGACATCTTCCCTTGTCAGAGGTTTATACGATATTAAATAGTTTGAATTTAATTCTGACTTTCGACGAGAAAATTAACACAATTAGCTTATTTTCACTGAAATATGTTTGTTTTTTTTTTTTAAAAAGGTGTAGTTACTGGGTTTCTGTTAGAGTTTATAAATGTCTTCAAAGTAGTGCAAATTCAGCAAGTCTATTTTTAGAGTCATTATTTACTATTATTTAAAGCGCCAAACAAAAATATTTTCGATTTAAATCAGTAGCTTAATCTGATGACGTTTTGTTGTTGTTTTGCCATTTTTAAACGTCCAAGCCTACCCACATGCCTAAACGTCGAGGCATCGAGGCGCTACTTATGGGATAAAAAGTAGCGTATACCGGCAATAATTCCCTTGACACTTAATAAAGCAAACAAAGGAAATCCGGGAAAGAATTGAGCAATATACGAAAAGTATGAACAAATATTCTGTTTCAAGTCCCAAATAGCCTAGATTTAGGCTTACTGCCAAGGCAAAGGGTGAGCCGCCATAAAGCCAGAAGGGCTATTGCATGGAGTAGAGGAAAGAGTCGCATGTCCCACTCCCTCCCTCCTCTTCTTCCTTTTAAATGGCCTCTGCGCTGCCCTCCACCAGTGCCTTTTTCTACCGCCAGTCGTGAGGCTTCCTGCGAGTAGTCAGAAACCGTAAGAAAAGGAGACTTTGACGAGTCAGGCAACACATTTCATTTGGAGTGCTAAATAGTAAGTCAAAAGCGTCTTTCAAACACCAATCGCATTTTGAGGGGTAGCTGGCTACAAGGGGATCGGTTTTCACTTGTTACAGTTGCACGGACCTCAAAACTGAGTCCTCCACATTCATTTGGCCACCACAGCAGTGAAGTTGAAGCTTGGTACCCAGAAAGCCCACTCACGGGTTTATAGCCTCGTTACCTCCCGAAGGCGTCATGAGGCATACCAGCCTAGAAGTGCGTCCACCACTGACATACAAAATGACATGGTGGCTGAAGGCATGAATGGATTTCCATGACACGAAAATGACAGCCAAATAGTGGAGACTGGAGGAATTCAACAACTTTTCCAGTTGGTAATCTGGCACCAATAGATGATTTCTCTTTGGGTGTGGAGGGAAAAGCTGAAGACAAGTGCCTTTGAAAGAGTTTATTCAAAACACAAAAGAAAAAACCTTCATGATTAAAGTACTGTTAAGAGTGTGGTCAATGGAATGCAGATAAAAATAGTAGTTGGAGACAGGAGACAAACTCAGATTCAACGAAATGTGGAAGAAAAAACCAAAATTATTGCTGTTGGTTGGGACTATTACAAGCACACCGCGCAGGTCAGTGCCAATACCGAAGGGATGATGACAATGGTGGCACTTGTCAAAGGGGGACAGTACACCCACAAACGCACACAAATTATGCGCACAGATAGACAGACAGACAGACGGACACAATCGGTACCTCTGCATTGCTGATGTCAGAAGGAGCTGAAAAATTAATGCAGAAATGTCAGAGGATAGACAATAATCCTACTCAAGCTCCCATTCAATCCTCCCTTCGGTGTGGGGAAACCAATTATGCACACGGCTGATGAGTAAATGACAAAAAGGGAAATTACGAGTAAACTGTACTTTTTAGCCGTGATAACTAAGCGGCAAATCAAGTGCCAATTACGGGCGTTGCATCAGGTTTCTCCCTCATTTTTCCCCTTTTAAATCACAAAGTTATGTCAACTTGTTAGCTGTTATAAAAACAAATTAGAAGGAATACTCATTTAGATGTAAAGGACAATGGCATGCTTTAAATTTTGCCCAAAAAAAAGTGAAAGCGGAAGGTGGATTTCGGGTTTGTCATGTGACTGCCACTGTCTGATAAGTTGGATTATGACTTATAGTTACAAAACTGCCTTATAAATTGCAAGACAAAGAAGTGAATGGAGTAGGTCTTTCTTCGAAGCGCTTTGTAGGTAGCAGGTATGTAAAGGGGACACACGACTTCAAAAAAGGGATGAAATGATGGAATGTTGTAGGGACCTTTGTGTTGTGTTGAAGAAACAAGTTAGGTAGGTAGCAGGTAAAGTGTGTGCTACCAGAGGCTTGAGGAAAAATTCTGAAGAGAGATATACATAATACTCCAAGTAAATAAAGTGACCACTTCTACATATAGATGCGGACCTGTGACATTGGGATATGGGTGCGTCACACATATGTGACATTACCGAAAGGAATTGAATTGAAATATAGGAAGGACAACACAAATTATGCTATTGCATGGAAAATTACAAAACATTTTTCCATGAATGGCTCAGCAGGTAGTTTTTTCTTTCAACAAATGCACTATCAAAATGACCGGTTTAGATACTACTTAAAAGCAATTAAGCAGAAATAATCAAAGTGGAAATACTAGTTTATACTCATTTTAATGCTTTAAACTCAGTCAACCGACTTATATTATGAGTTACTGCAACTAGTTAGCAAAAAGTGATAAAACACAGCCTTCATATGTTTGTGACGAAGGATCAGGTAAGAAAAATTGGGACGTCACACATATGTGACCCTAACGACTAATGTACTCTCTGCTTCACGGCAGATTAATCTCTCCAAATTCTCTGCTAAATGAGTGACAGGTTAACTGACAACGCCAAACAGATGGTAGCGTCTAGACCTTTGCCCCTACCACCTGACTCGCTGTCACCAAAAGGTAGCAACGCATTGGGGAAAAAAAAGTTACTACGCGAGATTCTACTTAAGGGAAACAAAAATTTGAAAGTATTTGAAGATCAATCGCATATTTTTCAACACCTTACCATGAAATTCAAATATTTTTTGAACAATTTTCTATTTCAGCATGTCAAATGTAGTGAGAAGATTTTAATTCAAGAATGGGACTGGGAGAGAAATCCCGCCTCACCGCATCCTCCCTGTTTCACAGGGATTAATTTTCTCAGTGATATTTACCATTTTTTTGACATCCACAATGGACAACTGCATGCAGAAAAGGAATAGTCAGGTGAAAAAGAAAAGTAAGAGAGAGACAAGGGAAGGTGATTAGAAGTTTGGCTTATTGCCTCGTCTTCTGGAGAGAAATCATTTGATAAATGCGGAATTCGCAAACCCTTAATAATATCAACTTCAAGGAGTAAGGAGAAAACGTCCGATAAAAAGTTAAAAAAGGAAGTGAAACCTCTGTCTTCTTTTTTTTCCCTTACATACTCGTTTTCGAGGTGTTCACGCGAGTGGACCACGGGAGGGGGAAAAGAAGGGAGCCTCAGAAATGAAAATAAAAGTCGCAGACTTTCAGCGCTTCAAAGCCTCACCAACAATAAGGCTGACCGCTCAATCCACCCAACTTTATACAGAAGGTGCATTAAATATTAACCATATGAAGGGAAACAACAGCAAACGAAGGGAGTACCAACTATGTGGTACAGTGGCTTACCCCTTTTCAACCGTCTACCTTCTTATGCGTTCCATAAGTTTTGCAAATCTAAAAGGGGAAATGAAGCAAAGTGAAGCTATTTTTCCCTTCACCGCAGATTTAATAAATCCCGAAATTCCTCCCTTTTCCGTTTATACGGGCGACAACAAACGAGTCTGTCGAAAATGTAACCACTTTGCAGTGCGTTCAGTAGCCCCTAGAGACAATTTTTTGGTCTAAAAAACTCGTCTCTAAAGTGGGTTGAATTATAAAATCAAATGTAATTTTTTAATTCAATAGGGTAGTTTAAAAAGGGAAATTATCCTCTTTTCGTGAGTTAAAAAATTAGAATCACCTTTTTGAGAGGGATAGCTGACTGCCCAAATACTTTGATCAAAGTATATTCAAAAATCCGTGTAGCTGTTGGATGGCAAAATTACTATTCGGATTTCCCTTTTAAAGTGTTCTAAGGATTTCGCCCTCATTTTGAGGTCCTTTATGGAAGACTCTACCTTATTAGCAATCTGGAAGGCAGCCCAAGTGTTCTCCCATTTCGTTAGGGGGAAGACCATACATCAAAAAGGATCATTTAAAACTTTTTACGCCAAAAGTTAAACTATTCTTCCGGAACTATGCAAGAAATAGTAACTTTAAAAGATAGACAATAGAACTGAAGGGAAGAGAAAGGGTAGATGGTACTTTGAAGCAATACAAGAGGGCTAACTGCTCAGCTCCACAGCCTAATAAGTAGCCATATAAGTAGTATGACATGGTGAAATGGAAAGATGACCCATAAAAATAAACTTCTTATCATAATTCTGATTATAGATGCAGTCTGTGGAATGTGTAAGTCAGTAGAGGAAAAAAGCGACTTCAACGATTAAGCTAGTGAAGCTTGTGTCCAAGGCATCACCGTTCCAATCGGTAGCTGAGAGGCCTCCTTCAGTCGGACACAACTAAAAACTTTATTATTGGTTGACAGTGAAAAATGCCTTTATACAGCCACTTCCATTTCTGTCACATTGCTCTCTCGTTCCTTAACTGTTTAACAAGTCCTTATTTCTGGAGGAGAAGTTGGACTGGAACACCTTCAAGATGTGGACGTCACTTGTAAGTGCAGTTCGACTCTCATCAAGTGAACAAATGACAGTAAGTCATTCCATCCACAACCCACACACACACATACGAAGCCAGCCCGGATGAAATGGTGCGTGTCGCTAAGGCGTAGAATGGGGGGTAGTAGTGACTAGATTGTCCAGATTTAGCCAATGCTATGATTTGTTTGCTCCACGCAAGTTTTAAATCCAAACGCCATTTCTTATCACAAGTCAGTCAGTTAGTCAGCCAGTAAACACTGCAAAATACACAACTTGAAAGAAGGGAAAAATAAGTAGATTCTTATAGAAGTTCACTGCCACCTGTTAAGATAGGACATGTGGGACCCATCTGCTTAGCCTCCGCGATTCTGCCTTCATCATGGCCTCCTTTAAAAGTGCAATACATAATTACTAAAAATGAAGAGAATTCTTCCTGAGTATGTAGCATGTATCTTTTAGTAATTCACCACTTCTAAGGAGTACATTCTACTACAACATCTTTAAGTTCAGTGCTACAGAGCTCCGCAAAACCAAGGTCCAATTCACAGAGAAGGCTACCGACATTTGACAACCCTTCAAGGTCACGGACAGACAAATAAGGAGTCCTGCTTGACTGACGCATCCATTTCATAGAACCATCTTATTCACTTCGAGGAGAGGAAAGCACTTCCAAGGCTGGGTATTTTCCTTAAATATCACGAGAAGGTAAAGGCTGATCTCTACTGAAGGAATTTTCTTCTTCCCTAAGTAGTAGGGAAAAAAGGAACTGCCGACGATCAGACATTATCCACAAAAAAGATGGATTCCATTCCCCACATCAAATGATTTCATGTCCTCTTACTACCTCAGCAGGATTATTAAGCCCTGGATGGAGAGAGAGAGAGAGAGAGTAGTTGAAAGAAGGCTTTAAAGTCCTTCACTCAGTCTACAGAACTCAAAATTTGACAGTCAAACATTTTCAGGATCCTTCTACCCCCTTGATTTAAACAAGTGTTTTTGAGAAAGAGATCTAGAGGGGGGAGGAATAATCTGGACCATTAATAAGCAGCACAAGTTTGAATTCGGAGTCCAGGAAAAAAAGTTACCGCCATCTAAATTTACCTGCGTATCTATCGTGACTTGAAACATCAACACCTTCATTTGATGAGTAAAACTTGAGAAAAAAGGCGGTTTTCCCAATTTCGTCTTATAAAACAAGGGAAAGAGGGAGGGGAAGGGTGAGGGTGGAGATGCAACTTTTGTCCAGCCAAATCCATATCTCCCGCTGCTTGAGGAGTTATGCATGAGAAAAAGAATCAAAATTTATGTCATTTTTTAGCTTCCATGGAAACGGCGGTGGCGGAAACTGAGATCATTTACCGTGTCCAAATGTATCCAGAAGGAGTGGGGTGATTTTGAGGTAACTTTTTTCCTGTGGATAGTGAACAATCAGAAGGTGAGGAAATTGTGAAACTCCTTCAAAGAGTATCACAAAGAAAACCCGTTTTCCCAGAATAAAGACAAAGTCCTTCAAGCGCAAATCAGGGATGTAGAGATTAAGGAAGCACTTTTTTTTCCGGAGTGAATGTAAGATTTGTCTGTGTGTTTGTTTCGAATAGCCTACAAACGGTCTGTTCGCATTCACGGTCAGAAGTGATAAGAGGCGCAAAAACAAGTCATAAAAGTTCAAGAAGACAAGGGAAAGGAAAAAGTGAATTGAAGAGCAACGGCAGTTATGGGGGAGTACCGGCAAATCATAAATCAGATAAAGGAGGGAGATTATGCGGTTCTTTTAATTCTCTTGATCACAAGGAAATGGCAAAAAAGTAAGGCGCTGCTTGAATGCCGGTGGACATGGATAACTTCCTCAGCATGATATTATTTACTACCCCTCATTTTCAATTAAACTACCATTAAAAAATTACTAAAACCACCTCACGGGCGCAATTCGAGCTTATCGGGCATGCGCAAGACAGGTGAAAAGCTACGGAAGCGCCTCATCATGGAGGGCAGAGAGAGAGCATCTGGAGAAGATGCAGAGGATAGCAACGGACTTTATCACCAGCTCATAGTGGCGACGGCTCCATAGATTTTGACAAGAGGACCTTCAACGGTTAATTATGGAGAAGAGTTATTATTATTGCCCAAAATAAAAGGTGACTGGTGTGCCAAAATCTTAAATAATGCTT